GAAAAAATATGCAAATTACTTCTAGTTGTGATGATTCTTTTGTGCTGTAGAAAGTTGCCTCTAGGAGCTGAGCTGAGATTATTCTTTGGATCAATTTTGCTTTTTTTCCTGAGTGCATTGTCCTGGGTGAGATCTTTATTCTGGCTCCTTCGAATAGTGAAAACAACTGGGGAGTTTGCCTCTGGCCAGTGACCTCCTGTGGCCACTCAGAAAATGATTAATATTTTCCTGTGTTTTTTCAACAATCACTACTGCTAGTTCTGTAATACTAGACTATCACTAGCAACTAGCTTTCATTAGAATTGTTGCCTTTGCAATTTAGCTTAGGCCATTATTCCAGTATTACTAGTGCAACGGGACAATACAACTTTGCTTCACAGCACATTTCAGTCACGTAGCAAGTCAGCTATCCACCAGAAACTCAGATTTAGCTGTGACATATTTAATTCATAACTAATTCATATTATTGTTGACTTTGTGGATCACTGATGAATTTCAGCTCAAACACTGCCCTTTCAGAGAAGTGGTGTCTAATCTGAGGAAGAAAACATTGATCTGAACTGGGACCTTTGCTGAAAGACGATTCAAAACTGTGACATTTCTAGTCTTCAGTGCATGGTACAGTAGCTTGAAAATGAGCAATAAACTCCCCCCTCATCAATTTTATTGTTCATCCAGTAGTTAAAAGTGCAAATCAATGCTTTTCACATGGCAGAATGCTACTAACTCTGAATTTTCACCTCCTGGACTGAAGACCCAATCCTGCAAAGTGCAGATCCTTCTCCTGGACTTCCGTGCAGATTGATTGCATGCAATACATTATAGGTGAGGATTTGGGATAGATTCCATTCCAAAGACTATGCAGGTTCAAAATGAAGTCCTCAGAAGTCTAGAATGTTAAAGTTAAGTTTGCTATGGGAACCTTAACTCTGCTATTTTGTGAATAAGCATTACGCTATAGTCTTTAATTCCATCATAACACATTTCTCCTGTAGGACCTTTGCCTCATTCACTGTGCAGGCTGGATGAAGCACATTGAATGAGACTAAGGATGTTAAGGACCGGGTATCTGGTTAATCATGTAGTCACTACAATTTGTATCGTCTACATGATTAGTCAATAAGGGGAGGTGCTCTACACAGCCACAGTGAGGGCAGCTCTCAGAGCCGGCATGAGCCAGATCTGTGGCTCCGGGAGCTCTGCGGCTCTGCCTTTCACATTTAGTAAGAACCCGGGGGCTCTTACTACATTTACAAGGCAGAGCCGCAGCAGTCCTGGACTGACACAAGCCGGGACTGGTTGGTCCTGACTCGTGCCGGGCCCAGCAGCTCCTGTTTGTTGCGGTCTGAGCTGGCCACAGACAGAGGCTGCTCCACCCGGGGGTATGTGGACAGCTCTCTGCTGAGATCACCCACAAGCAGGTAACTGCCCTCCTTTCTCCCCTCCGTGCTGACTAGAAGCAAAAAAGATCTCTGTGAGGAACAAATTAAGGGAGATGGTGGCCATTTTTTGAAAGGGCAGCCTGTGGACTTAAGGTTGCCAGATGGTTTCAACAAAAGTACCGGACACACTTGACATTACATCACTGTGTATGTCTACACTGCATTCCTCTTTGGAGAGAAGAATGCAAGTGCAGCTGAATAAAATTGCAAATAAGGAGTAAGGGTAATTTCGAAAGAAGGGTTTTCTTTCAAAATAACCACGTCTAGACTGTGTTTCTTTTTTCTAAATAGGGTATTTCGAAATACAGGCAGTCCCCGGGTTACGTACAAGATAGGGACTGTAGGTTTGTTCTTAAGATGAATCTGTATGTAAGGCTATGTCTAGACTGCAAGCCTCTTTCGAAAGAGCCTCTTTCGAAAGCATCTTTCGAAAGAGCCTCTTTCGAAAGAGAGCGTCTAGACTGCACGGAGAAATTTCAAAAAAGCGGCTTGCTTTTTCGAAAGAAAGCATCCAGTGAGTCTGGATGCTCTCTTTTGAAGAAGCCCTATTTACATTGAAGAACGCCTTCTTTCGAAAGAGGAACTTTCGAAAGAAGGCGTTCTTCCTCGTAAATTGAGGTTTACCGCCATCGAAAGAAAAGCCGCGTTCTTTCGAATTAATTTCGAAAGAACGCGGCTTGAGTCTGGACGCAGGGGAAGTTTTTTCGGGAAAAGGCTACTTTTCCCGAAAAAACCCCTGAGTCTGGACACAGCCTAAGTGAGAGAGTCTTATGTCTGTTTTGTGTGCATTGATTCTTTGGCGAAGTGTCTGAGAAGTTTGTCCAATGTACATGTTGCTTGCCC